GAGTGGTTTGGGTTTGACATCAGAAAACCATGGGGGTGTACTATCAGCCAGTTTGAGATCTCTTAGCATCTCAAAGAAAAACACTTTCAAAGCAGCGTTGTGTCTATCCAGGTACTTGGACTGTGCAAGAGACGGACATCCAGCCAGTACATGTGCCAGACATTCGGAACCCTCGCTGCACATTCTGCATGTGACATTATTCTTGTCTGTTGTTCCCGTCTTGTAGGCGGAGTAGACTCTCGTTGGGGTTAGCTGTTCGTACAATTCCATAATGCCTGCAACACAATGGGTAGGAGCGCTTACCCACTTGTTAAGCCATGCAAAGCAGCCTTCTTTATTATTATTATTATTATTATTATTATTATTATTATTATTATTATTATTATTATTATTAAAAAAACGATAAAAAATAAAGCAACACTTCCTTTGGCTGGGGTTGAATTTCTTTCAAGAGGTGCGCACTTGACCCAGTCTGCCGGTCCATCAATGTTTTTGAAACTGGATCTATACGGGTGATAGGGAAGTTGAAGCAAGCGTTAGATGTCATTGGGGATCAAAATACGAGGGAAAAAAGCGATGGACTAACTATTCAAAACAAGGCCACATTAGTTACCAAAATCATTCATGACATTGAATTGATGAACTGTTTTGTCGATAAAACATTTTACTTTTCTTTAATATAAATAGTGGAAATTTGAAGCCACATAACGTCAATGATTATGACAAAAAAGTAAAAACCTTGTGTACGCTATTTGCATAGGTTTGTACCGCTTTGATTAGCTAAAGCAGAAATGTGCCATTAATCCCTTCGAACTGGCACTTCCGTGGTGTAGTACACCTTATGATAACACACTGCCAACAGATGCTGAACCAACGAATTACGTTCATGCGACTTTAAATAGATTCATATAGCATTCTGTGGAACTACGACTCCACAAGTACCCACGCTATAGGAGACTGATTAATGCCAAGAACCAGACTGCGTCGCACTTTCCATAAACTGGGACTAATCAGGTAGCAAGCAGAATTCTTTGGTGAAGATTAGATTACAGGTAAGACTTTCTGCTTCTATGAAAATTTACAACTGTCATAAGGATTACTTGAAAGGGTGCTACGAAGAAAAAATGGTTTATAGCGTTCTGAAAAACTATCGATGAGTTTTATGTTTAAGGTATTGTGTTTAATATCGTAATATTTTTTTTTAATTTGACTTTCACCACGATAAGAAATAGAAAGTTGATTGAAAATGAATAATATTTCTGTTAATATCTTATACAAGATTTTTGTCAGCAATTACTTCACAGAATTTGGAATGCCTGACTGCTAATTACAACCCATTTTACCATTCAGTCTACACCATCGCCTAATAAAGGATAGATAAAGGTTAGCAATTTGCAGTCGAAAAGTCCCGCTCCTCCTACACATTACCCTCAGTCGTGAGACAATTGACGAGTATTATTTATTTCATTTTCGTTTTTACAGAGCTACCAAAATTCTAAACAAGGGACTTACCAAAGAAGAGAAATAACACTAGACTATCAGGGCCTTACTGAATCTGACTGACAATGACTGGTAGCAAAAATGCAAGCAACTACTTCTATGAGGCCGATTTTACAAAGGAAAATGCTATTTTCTGGATTATCCTGTACGCTATTCTTGGTTTTCTTATCATCACTTCGAATCTTGCCTCTATAACTACCTTCGTCATTAACAGACATCTTCGTCGTCATAGTGTGTACTGCCTGATTAACTTAGCAGTGGCCGACATGACTTACGGGGGCTTTGCAACAGCTTATCAAATATGTTTTATTGGATTCTTTTTTTTAGGCTACAACTTAGATTTAGATCTTGTATTTGGAACTATTTTGGTGGCTGGTACGGCGCATGTGTTGTTTACTTGTCTTCTCTCTTTGGTTCTTGTTTCTCTTGAACGTGTTTACGCAACGTTCTTTCCTTTCAGGCATCGAATAATACGTCTAAGGACATACATTTTTCTCTTTTTCATAACCTGGATATCACCTCTGCCGGTGTACTTTTATAAATACGTCCCTCGTGAAGTCATGACCAATATCTGCATCATTTTCCTGATCTCTCTCATCATCATCATTGTTTCCTACGCGTCAATCTTCGTCAAGGTAAAACGTCAAGACCAACTTGTGCATCAGCATAATCACCTGCAAGCAGACATACATAGAATACAAAGACGCGAACGAGAATTGGCCAAGACCTTATTCATCGTCACAGTCATATCCCTATTGACATGGCTGCCATACATCATCATGTACATTCTTCCTCAGAGGATATACCACGATCTTCCTTTTAACGTTCGGTTCCTGTTCGCTTGGATACAGCCAGTCAACTCTTTAGTCAACCCAATGCTCTATGTCTTGAGACTGAAGGATTTTCGCAAAGCTTTTTTCCAATTGTTGACTAAATGCTCAAGTGTTCGTGCGGTTGGTTTTCCTGAAGATGCTCTTCATCATGAACCTGCTATAGCACTCGCCATTGTGTCTGAAAGAGTAAACAGATGCTAGCAGCTTGGACAGATAAATATCATAGGTTTTCTAAGTACCCTCGATATTTTTTTCCGGCCCACTTTTTTTGTCTTATAAGGCCGAAAATAGTGCTTTTCTAGGGCTGCACTTATGTTTTGAACGTCATACTGAGAAACACTTTTCTATTTATGATTTCTTTATATTTTGATTGAGGGTCACGAATTATCTTCCGAAAACTGCAATACAGCGTCAGACAACGATTCTTTAACTGGAAATTAAAAGAATTCTCCAGCCACACTCTCCAAAGAATAAACAAACAGTTCCCCTTTTGTAGTTATTAAAAACTGTCTGCTCAGTAAATAAACACTCTAAGATTTACATTGAACTTGAGAATGAAGTCATGAGAACATCAATATTAAATTTCTTCTTTAGCGTCTGTTTTTCTTGTGAAACAGCTTTATTGTCTCAGCCATTTCTTTTGTTTTTCTAATGTCCCATTTAGTAGGTATTTTAAAAGCCTTGTTTCCATAAATCTTATAGGATTTCCATGTGTTTTGAACAGTTTATGTGATGCTATGCTGTCATGAGGATGATGTATAAGGACTGTGCGAATTAAGAAACTATTTCCTTTCTTCTCAGAGAGCATCATCAAAACATTGGTATTTTTAGATTTATTAGTTCACTTGTTGTCTAGGTTGATCTTAGTTAAGCTTATTATCTGTGCTTAGATACCAAGCACCCTTTTTTAAAGAAAGGTTATCTCTTACCAAGAGAGCATATTTGCTCTTACTGAATAGTAAATAGTGCATTAAAAGATTGAAAGTAAAGGAAATGGGCCATTTTACTTGAGGCGAAATGTTTTCCTATCCAAATGGAAATAATACTAAGGGGAATGACACATGGCGTGAAGCAGACGAAATAGCATTCAATGTCAGCTGAACTGATAATATTAATCTGCTTTTGCGGCATGGGAAATAAACATATTTTTTGTGCCTTAATGTTTTCTGTCTAAAATACGAAAAATCATATTTGTTACTCAAAGGCCATGCTCCATATTCCAATCAAAATGGAGCTACGAGTCTGAGTACATTACAGTTTGCAGCGTGCCAATCAGTCTCTTACATCTTATTTTTCAGTTCTCTGACCGATAAAGTTTTTTGAAATATAGATGTATCGATAAAATTGAAAATTTGAAGGTTTAAACGGGTCAGGGGCGTATCCAGGGGGACGGGAAAGGGGGGGAGGGGTGGAGGGCGTCCTACGGTGCACCGGACACCCCAGCTAACGCCGTAATTACTCTTCGACAAAAAATAGATATATATGACCGAAGGGAAAAAAGTCGATTAGTCCACTGGATAAATTTTAATGTCAATTATCCCACTGGTCCGAACACATTTTAATGTACTTAGTTGAGTGCATGATGGACCGGATTTCGAAACGTGAGAAACGTTACTGATCGTTTTTGTATGTAGTCAACCGATACGCATTATCACTTGAGCGAAGCGAGTGTTAGGTTTCAACCGCTTTTTAAAGCGTGAATCCTAGGTGAGCAGTGGTAATCCATATAAATCTTTTTAACGAGTAAAGCTAAAAATAGAAGGGAGTAAGTTGGTAGGGTGAGAAAGGTAGAATTTTAAAGTTTAATTCAATCCGGCAACTGAGGGGAAAAAAGACATCTGCCTCCACTGAAATCTTTGTGGTTCTGCATAAATAGAAGAGAATTTCATTAAACCAACAAGGGTAAAACTGTTTGCACTTAAAGAGGGAAGAAGGTTCAATAGAAAATACTTTGTTCTATAACCACTTTTCTTTACTACGCACTCGTTTCGAGTCTAGACTTCCTGTGCGAAGTGCAAGGTATTAGATCTCCTGTTGTTACTGTGAAATACTCAGTGGAAGAGAGTAGAAAGAACTGTCATTAGGTCTATAGATCACTACCGTTTCGTCTTTACCCTCGCTGATCACAAATTACGTGCCTGCAGTCTTTTGAGACAGCGGTCACGTCATTGTTAAAGTGCTTATAAGCCTTTGCACAATATTTTCAGAATTGATTCTTTAGATAGTGAACAGTTGATTGTGAAAATAATTCGTCATTTGAATGTCGGGTCTTTGAGATACGAAGGTTTATATTTCCAATATGTTAATGACGTAACATATGGGGTCATTTAATATACAACACTGCACTCGTTCTGGATTACTGTATTTTAAAAGCATCACCCTTTTACTCGTGACCACGTAAAAGGTTCTTACAAATTTGCTTTCAATAAATATCCAGCGTTCAATATTAAAAGTTGCCACAAAATAACTCAAATCCCTTATGTGGGCGAGCTCTAACAATTTATTTGATCGACGGAAATGTATTGCCCGATCCCCATACACCTTTTCTTAGTACGTTAAACAGGATGCATTATGGTCTAGCTTCAAAACAACACCATATAAGGCAGACCATTTTGCACCGCCTTCGCTACAGCAGTTTTCGTATGACTGTAAAAAGCTCAGTGACGTAAGCGTGCCGTGCCGTGAAACTAATGTTCTCTAGAATTTTAATTGACTGAGTTTTTTCTTGCGCTATTTGATTGGTCTGGCAGTGCCGTGACCAGGGCGTGACGCCGAGTACGTGCCGTGTTCATGCCGTGTTCCGGGCATTTGATTGGATGGGGAGTAAATTTTCGAGCAATGTTATTTGGTCTGGCATATTCCTTTGCTGTGTCACGTCCGTGTTTGTGCCGTGAGCTTTTCACAGTCATACGAAAACTACTATATATCAAAAAAGTTCTATGTCGCGACTGTTGTCTCGATCATGTTTACACACTTTCTCTCTTTAATTTTTAATCAGATTTATACCAATAGATATAAATCACAGACTAAGACTTACTAATACCTAAGATGGAATTCTTACTACTGCTTGTGACATCAATTTCGGCCAGATATACAGAGTGTAATTGAAGTGACGTCAAATTGTCTTTTGGGGTTTATGCAAAAACTGCTTATATGGGTGTCACTAATCTGTCGTCGTCTCTCATGAATGCAAGCTCGGGATCGTATTTCCGAAGCTTGGCTTAACTGCGTATGGGAATTGCATGAATTTCTGCCCACTTTGCCAAGTTCGTTTTACTCCGAGTTCATTGTTAAATATTTGAATTTCCAGGTACTAACAATTATAATTTCCTTATTCTTAGGATGAATGCGCTGCTACGGCGTTGTCTGTTACCACTGTGCAGTTCGTGCCCGAGGTCTGACATTCCAGTCTCAGCTGATCCGCATATGTGAGTTGCGTTTGTTTGATGTGTTGTTCTCTCCCTTGCCCTAAGGCTCTTCTCCGGGTTTTCCGGTTTTCCTCCCTCTGTAAAAATAAACTTGTGAGCTCAGTGTGGTGTGTTATTTTTAGAGAATGAAGTGATAGTGCGTGTGGAGCAAGCCTCGCGGAAGAGCCTTGGAAGTATGGCTGTAAAATATAAGTTTTTAGCAGATTGGTCGATATTTATTTATATGTTATTTGGCAGTTATAAACTGAATTGCGCAGCTATAATTTAAAATAAAATACAAACTACTAACTATGTAAAAACGTTATCGAGTTTTATCTTTTGAATTAAATAGACTTACATTCCTACAAATGACGCAACACTTTTAGCATTTGTGTCATTCTTTACCATAATTAAAAGTGAATTAGGTATTGAAAATATAATCAACTTTTAAGTTATCCGGGAAATGATTTAAATTGGACAGAGCCCACGCATCCTCAACTGGTCTAATAAGAATTACTTCCGTGAGAATATTCCTCATTTCAAAATTATTATAGTATTTTATACCAATTAGAACTGAGATTTAATCACACTTATAACTGATTGGCTGACGGACGTATTATCATGCATGTCATCAGATAGACAACCATAGAGACAACCAAATAAATAAATAAAATAAGATGAAACGATGCCATGGCCCTTCTTTTAATTACAGTAAATATTCAGCCAATCAGCTCCATTGGTTTGGAATTTGAATGTATCATATTTCAATACCTTATAACTTGTAATTTATTGAGGATTTGATTGGTTAGGCAAGGTAAATTAATCGTCCTTATTGGTTTACTTGGCTAAACCAATTGGAAATTCTGTATCCTCCGTCATTAGCCTGTTCCTTTTAAAATTTGCTCGGTTCTTAAAGTTACTGATGACGATTTCTTGTCTCCGACGAACGCAAATCATACATGAAAATGACGAACGCAAATCAAACTTTAACAAGAGATTTGTCTACTTATGTTTCATTCACAGTGGATAATAGGTTTCGTTATTGTTGGTATCCTGATCGTGGTTTTGAATCTTGCTACAATTTTAACATCTGCCATGAACAGTCATCTCCGCCGTCGTAGTGTGTACTGCCTGATTAACTTGGCTGCAGCCGGTATGATTTACGGAGGATTCGGTTCTGACATTTCTCACGATATCTTTCTAAAGGCCCTGTTGCACGTTGAAACTTTTAGGTGCAACTTGTGTGCAACGGCATTGCGAGACAAGTTTCACAGGGGTGTTATGCTGCGCAATTTCGTCCTGAAACTTGTTCGCGACACAAGTTTCGGTTACAGAAGTAGAAAGAAGTTCTACTTTTCGTGAAACTTTCTCGCGGAAGTTACACAAAGCTGGTGTGTTACACGGTGCAATTGCTTCTGAAACTTGTCTCGCAACGCTGTTGCACACAAGTTTCACCTAAAGATAGCAACGTGTAACAGGGCCTTAACTCAGCCCTGGACTTCAATGTTTTTCTCGGTCTGAACATTGTTGCAATACTTTCCTTAATGGCTTCTGTCTTAGCATTGGCTGTCGTTTACATGGAAAGGGCGTTTGCTACTGTCTGTCCTTTCCGACACCGATCTTTTATAGTCTTACCATGTATGCTGTTAGCTATTCTGTGGTTTGGGTCTTAGCTTTGATCGTTTCCCTCCTGTGCAATCTCGTACCACGATCAAACGCAATCAAATAAGCCATTTTGCTTAGTACAAATTACATTACAAATATTGTTCATATTGAATATTCCTTTATAGGTGTAACAGATCTTAGTATAAATACAGGGAACTTTTGAAATTACACAATCAGTAACCGTTAAATTAATAATATTTAAGAGCTTGAACTGTTTGTTTGAATAGATATACAAACAATGCGGATAGGTAATTAACGATCTCGATGTTGAATATTTTATGTTGAATATCTTATACGAATTTTAAGTCTGTTCAAAGTCAAATTTTAAGGACGTTTAGCTATTAAGCTGCATCTGAAAATGAAATCACATTTTTACCATTTTTCTTCATTACCTTGATCTTTTTTCTTCTTTTCTTTATCATTCTCTTTTTCTTTCAATGGTTATTATTTTTCATTTTAATATGTCTTAGCCAGAAGTCAGATACCAAATGTCATACTAGATACATGTATACGAATTGTTATTGCTTAATTGATTATGTTTGGAGTTTACAGTACGAGTAGGCTTTTTAAGTCGCTGCCAAAAAATAACTATCTTTACTATTGCCGAAAGGTAGGAACTTCATATATGGTACAATATCCCCCCCCCCCCCCCCCCCCATCAATTAATGTATTTGGTGATCCACGTGTTTTTACCATGCATAAAGTACCATACGACTAACGAAAAAGGTACAAATAATGCTTTGAGCATGCGCAGTGAATGATACTCATGTGCACCTAAAGGTAACAATTTAAACTGAACTTGCCCATGGCTTTAATCTTTTGAAGCAAAATCTAGATAATTTTCAAAGAAAAAAAACAACTAGGGAAAACACAAAAAAGCAACTACGAATCCGTGGAATGATAAAGCAATTAGTTGATCTCTCTTTTAGCAAAATATGAATATTTATCGTTTTCTTTTGCTAAGCTTGTTAAAGGCAAAAACCACATTAAACCGACTTTTATAAATAAGTCTTGGAACATAAACTTTCATTAATCGCTATATCTCAATTGCGGACCTAGGATTTTTGAAGGGTTGGGGAGGGGAGGGGGGAGGTGGGTTGGAGGGCATTGTTAGTTACTCTAAGGACAATTCATTCTTCTTGGATACAGCTGTACAAACATTTAATAAATGATTAACCAATCTGAGTGGTCGTGCTGTTTACGATATATCAGTCATTTTTTTTGAATATTAATATTATTCATTGTTTTGCCCTCAGGTACGGATTTTATGAAAAGGGTCAGTCTCATGCATGATGCTATAGAAAAATTCCCAAAAGGATGGCGTGAATGTTATACTGAATGGTGAAAAAAGGCTCACGAGATACGTGGAGGTACAGGTAATCCAAATCTGTTCGTAAAATTAAATTAGGCCGTATGTTCCTGTTTTGCATACATTTACATTCTTGCATACTTCTGAATTGTCGCGTAACACCAGCTTAATTCGCGCTTGTTACAACGATCTTCCGCATCGTAGAAATTATGATCCAAACATAGCAGAATGTTTTTTTAATCTATTTTGGAAAAAAATATATTCATAAAAAGACTTAATATAGTTTTAGGGTTACTCCCTGCTGAATTAAGCAACAACGTAAGGGGTAAAGACAATAAGATTCAAATTTATTAAAAAACGGTGCACTATATTTTATTAAATATTTATGCGTCATTGGGTGAAACCGGAAAACCTTTTTAGTCTTAGATTCTATTTATTGCGATTATTTTTATGATAAATATATATATTTCTAATTTTGGACACGACAAAGATTTGCTTTGTAATTGATGTGGCTTCAAGTTGACCAAGCTGTAGGGCAGGAACGATAGCATTGTCTTCAGTGGCATGAAGTGAGTTTTATATTCTCATGCGAGAAAATTTATTCTTTGCCCTACAAAATGACTGACATGAAGCCCTTCTGTATTCTTCCATCTGGTGCTTGACACGTGATTAATTTCTTTATGTACCGGGTAGATTATATCATGGATAAAAACTTCTTTTGGGAGACACTTACCTTGACTGTTCAAACATGCAAACAACCAAACAGGACTTTCTTCAAATATGCAGCTGTTTGGCAAAGACTTGGCAATATGCCCAATGTTTATGGTTTCGTTCTTTATTTGCCTTGTCTCCATCTTCACTGATATAAAAGTCAGTCAATAAATGTACTTTTTCATTACCAAACTATTCTAGCCAAAAGCTGGTACTTGGATGGTATCCTGCCCGTAATTTCTTCAATACCAGACCGGGGAAAAAACTGACTAACATGAAAGAAAACAGCAGCACAACTTCTTTCTCCCTGGCGATACCATCAGAAGAAACAGTTATAATCTGGATGGTCCCTTTCGTTGTCCTCGGAGTTCTTATCGTCATATCAAACATTTTGACAATCATAACGTTTGTAATCAACAGACATCTTCGCCGTCGTAGTGTGTACTGCCTGATTAACTTAGCAGTGGCTGATGCATTGTATGGTGCTGTTTTAACTTCTTATTCTTGGTGTGTATTGGGAGTAACATTCTTTGATTTTGAAGTGGACTTCAAGACCGAGGCATGTTTATTCCCTCGCTCTTAACAATTATGGGTTCTCTGTTGTCTTTAGTTGTCGTTTGTATTGATCGTTTGTACGCAACCTTCTTTCCTTTTCGTCATCGTGCATCTAGACCTAGAGTCTATGCTTTTACATTTATCATCACTTGGTCGTTGGCGTTGCTCACGTCCCTGATGTACCATTTGACACCCAGAACAAAAACAACATTTCCAGTAGTTTTCTACTGGTTTCTTCTCGCGTTATCGCTAACTGTCATGATTATTTCATACGCTTCTATATTCTTAAAGGTAAAAGCTCAAAATAAGTTTCATCAGCCGCACCAGCAACAGGCACGAGTGTTAGGAAATCAAATGAGAGAGAGGCATCTTGCAATGACACTCTTCATTGTCACAGTCTTATCTCTTTTGACATGGCTACCATTTTTATTTGCCCGCGCTTTAAATCCAGCCCGGTACACCTTTTACGGACGGCTAACAGTTCTTCCAAGGAATTATTGCATGGTTTTTCTAATCCAGGCTTCCAATTCGTTTATCAACCCTATAGTCTACCTGTTCAGGATGAGGGATTTTAGAAGTGCTTTTTTTTGTTTGATATCAAGATGTTCTAATCACAGCCGGGTTCATCCTGAAAATGGGGACATTTCACGCGAAAATGGACGTTCATTAGAACTCGAAGCGACACAAGCATCACACAGCAGAGCCGGTGTCAACTAGACTTTCAATTCTGCAACTAGCTTCAGCCGGTGTTCGATTGCGCAAAAGAAAACTTTTTTCAAAAATTTTAGAATTCCGCGGATCGATATGATAACCAAGAAACCAAACTTTAGGTTTAATTCACGTGCACATGCCAAAGGCACAGAATTTGAAGGGTCGAAGGAATGTATGCTATGAACAGATCTATCCGTTCTCTCAAATTTGGAAGCATAATTGCATCGAATTGCAAAATAAACCTATACTCAACTTTTGATGCTTCAGAATTCAATGCGAGTTCATGGCGCCCAGCTTGACAAAGTAAATAACTTGCTTGTAATATAAAGGAAATAAATCATTCACTCAAAAATCCCATTTGTCCCAAACCCGCAATTCTGTCAAAGTCATGTAATTTATCACGTGCACTCTGCTTGCCAAATCATCTTCTCTTTGAAATATAATTCAACTTCTAATTAGAATTTGTTAGGTTTTCTATCCTCCGTCAGAGTGGCCGAAGTAAATAAAAAAACTTTTAAATAATCCTAGTTTTTCGGTCGTGTCATGGGTTCCGATTGGACTCGTGCTATCCCACACCCGAAGCAAAACCGTATGAGTCGCTTGATCAAATTAAAAAAGTAAATCAATATGGTTATGGACAGTTTACTCAACAATACAAACAAAAGTCTTCGTATAAATTTAACCCAGAATTGCAAATTACCTAATTTGAAGTAGTCTCTGCTCCTGTTTAATCTGACGAGCAATATTTTATGGTGCCGTTATGTCTATGTTATTTCAAGTTTGCACCAGACAACGATATGTTTTAATTATATTTTATTTCTAGCTTTCATAATTTTTTTATCAACGTACCAGCTGGTGTTTTTTTTTTCGATTTTTTCCTTTGGATGATTTTAAGAAAGTCTTCAAGAAGCATTTTATTCAAAGGGTGCGTTTTTACAAATAATGTTTGTAAACACTTTCCTTTTTTTTTTTTTTTTTTTTTTTTTTAAAAAAAAAAAATTTTTTTTTTTTTTTTTTTTTTTTTTTTTTTTTTTTTTTGATAAACGAGAATTATATTATTCCTGCTATCGACCATTTGCTTAATTTGACTTCACTGCAGCTCACTAGTTTTGCGGTCGCTATAGCAACAACGTGGTGGCAATTACAAACCTTCCTAATGAATGAAAGTGTTGAAGGTAATCATAATTCATGTTTCCAACTTATTGCTTTAACAAAGATAAAAATAGTCATCACTGAAAACAAATGCATCGAAAAAAACCCAGAGCGATTGGAAATGTCGACATATAATGATGCCCTCCTTTCTATCAGTTATGTGTTGTTTCCTGATCTTGACTTTGTTTAGCTCGATAACATCACTTTAACACACTACAGTATGCTGGGCCAATAACTGGAAATGTCAAATACAGATGGACACACTTGTCACTTTATTTTAGAAATGAAATATTGAACTATGCGCAACATTCTACCCACATTTCTGTTAAGTGGGTTTCTTACTTTCCTAATTGAATTCTTTTTCTAGAATTGAAGTTTTCGCTTGAAGTAGTTATTGTAACGTTTCTTTACCTCTTTTTGGAATTGAAGTTTTCGCCTAAAGTGGATGTTAAAATACAGATGGACACGCTTGTGAAGCAAATTTTATTTTCAAATGAAATATTGAAGTATGCGCACCATTCTACCCACATTCCTGTTAAGTGTGTTCACTTTCCTAAATGAATTTTTGTTTTACGAATTGAAGTTTTGACATTTCTTTGTCTTTTTTTTGGAATTGAAGTTTTGCCTTAAAGTAGCTATTACCCTATGCATTTCATTCTCAACTTTCCTGTTAGCTATCTTCTTATTTTTCTCAAGAACAACGTTTCCTCCCTTCGAATTGAAATCTTAGCTTGAGGTCTGCATTATACTGATTGCCTTAACGTTCCTGTTAAACACGTTCCGGCTTTCTTATTTTTCTAAATGAAAATGTTTTTTTTACGGAATTAAAGTTTTAGCTTTAAACGTTCTTCGCCCGTCCAGCTAGGTACAATATTTTCCTGGAAATTAAAAACAAACATAGTAAAGGAAGCGGTCAAAACAATATTTCAAAAAAAAGCCTTCGTGAAGTGCGGTCATTGCGCTTGTTTGTCTTGAGTCAAGTAACTTTGAAGTTATTTTAGGTGGTCAAAGCTTTTAGCAGGTCACTAAGGGACAACATCAAGTGGGTTCAAGCTCTCTATTTCACAAGTTTTTTTCAAGTTTTTTTCAAGGTTGCGTCAAGTGCAATTGAGATGTTCTGTGGTTTCATTGTCTATGGTTTGACTGTAAAAGGAAAATGCATTAGGTAAAAAAAACCTTAGTCAAACATTGTACCAGATATCTAGCGAATGGTGATGTCTTGACAGACTAATCTCTAATGACCCCGCTTTCATTTTCCAGTTTGCACAAGGTAATCACAAGGGCAGTTGAAAGGATAAGTAGATTTGCCGATAATCGAAGCAGCCTTATAAAAAGAAAAACTATAAAACGATACATATAGGGGTTGTTTTAAGGGTTGGAAACATGGGATAAGATTTTTATTGGTTTTATAGGGTTCTAGATAGGTGTCCCCAATTAGTTTATTCAAATAAGCTAGAACGACATGACACAGTAATAAAGTTTATTATTATTATTATTATTATACAGATTTATTCAGGACCATCAGGACACACGATTATGGGTAGACTAAACATATCGGAAGATTTATTTCAAATCACAAAGCCAACCGTTGAGACAGTTCTAATATGGCTAGTTCCGTTCGTTGTCCTCGGAGTTCTTATCGTCATGTCCAATATTTTGACTATCATAACCTTGGTTGTCAACAGACATCTTCGTCGTCGTAGTGTGTACTGCCTGATTAACTTAGCAGTGGCTGATGCATTGTATGATGCTGTTTTAACTTCTTATTCTTGGTGTGTATTGGGAGAAACATTCTTTGATTTTGAAATAGACTTCAAGACCCAAGGCATGTTTATTCCCTCTCTCATAGCAATAATGGTGTCTCTATTTTCACTGGTTCTTGTCTCTCTTGAGCGACTCTATGCAACATTTTTTCCTTTTCGTCACCGAACAGCAACACCTAGTACATACACTTTGGCCTTCATCATCACGTGGTTGTTAGCGCTTCTTACCTCTCTCTTTTACCATCTTACTCCCAAAACAAAGTCCAATATAACAGTAGGTATCTATTGGTTTCTTTTGGCGCTGTCTATTGCTATTATAATCATCTCATACGCTGCCATATTCCTGAGGATAAGATTGCGAAATCAGCTTCACCAAGATCACAACCACCAATCATCAAGAACAATAAAACTCATGCGCGAACGTCAACTGGCCATTACTTTATTCATAGTTACCCTACTATCTACCCTAACATGGGTGCCGTATATTGGAATGCGCATTTTTTACCCAGTGACCTATACTTTTTACGACAGGTTGAAAGTACTCCCAAGAGGTTTTTCTGTAATCTATGCTTTCCAGTGTTCCAACTCATTGATCAATCCAATAGTCTATTTGTTTAGAATGAGAGATTTTAGAAATGCCCTTTTTAGACTGCTATTCCGATGTTCGAAAGGTCCTCCTCGGCATATAAATCCTCTTAGTAGTTACACTTTTGTTGTTCCAAGACAGGGTATCCCCCCTTTAGAGCTAGAATTAAGTAACTGCGCTTTTGTTGTTCCAAGACAGGCTGCAGGCCCGTCGCCAGGACCTTGAAAAGGGAGGTTCGTTTTTCTGCCAATCTTAGTTATACAAGACACTAGTAAATATTAAAAACTCTGGCTCGCTTGATGTTTTCAAAAAAATAGTAGACGTATCTTTTTCAATGTCGTATTTATTATTAATTTAGTTTTCTTTGAAAAAAAATATTTGTAAAGTTTTTTAAATGTGTTTACGAAATAAATCATATTAGCACTACTTGTCATTTAAAAAGCCTGTAAAAGCTAATGACATTGCCACAACTAACAACTGGAAAATTTGTTTTATGGTAAACCGTTGTATCAAATACAACAGAATATAGACTTTTCCGGCTTGGCTGTGGTATATTCCTATGGGTTATCGAAATTAAACTTGCAAAATGCAAGGGAAAAAAATTAAAAGTTTATGCGTTTGAGGTATTTTGCGAAAGCGCAAAGTCACTCGCAGAAACTTTGAATGAGAATAAGGCACCGATCACACCTATCCGGATACCTTTGAACAAGTTTCTGAGATCAAATGCAAGTAAACCGATACCTTTCTCATTTAATAAATAAAGAATGAAATCTACCAATAAACAAGTTAAAATTATTATTATTGTTATTCGGTTTATTTTATGTAGGATTTTTGAAATAACATACAATTGAATGGCACAGATTGAACAAACAATCTTGATCTCTGTTAATGACATATTCAAATGGGAAACCTAAAGACTGGTCCATGACATAGTTGACAAGGTCATGATAAGTGATGTCAAATATGACAGAAAAGGCGTATTTTGTTAATTTATGAATAACGAACAAAATCGCTTAAATTCTGAGTCATTTTGCTGTAAAGTTTGACTCTTCAAATTTAACCTCAGGGAAATTTCTGAAAACATAAAATTTTATCAATTCAAAAAATAATTTATTTAATCATTTATATAGTTCGGTTGCTTAACTTCGTTTTGCATGTGGGTCAAATGCTGCTTTTGTCAAATGGCGCTGTTGACTCGTATACATAAAAATATAATAAAGATAAAAAGCCATTTCTACGAAACTGGTTGAAAAGGGAAAACATCATCAAGTAACACTTTTTGGCACTCAGTTTTTGAAGGACCCCCAGAAATATTTTTAAAAGCCGAATTTGAAAAAAAAAATGCAGCATATGATAATCAGAAATTTATAAATTTTATAATTTCAAAATAAAATATAGGGTGAAAAATTGGTTTTATTTGCACTTTAAGATCTTTCGCTAGTTTGCCGAAGTATTTTCTCAATAAATTTGTTTTACTCGTATTGAAGTCGGACTTCGAATAATCGGCAATGAAGTGATATTCAGCATAAGAAACTTAAGGGAAACGGTTTTGAGGTTAGAAGTAGAACTCTGATTGTATATAATAAAATTGAGTTTGAATATTTCTGTTTGCGTATGAAAAGCTGGCTAATTTTTTTTAGGAGAAAAATTTATCTGCAGTTCAGATTTTTTTCTGAGCTCATATATCGTAATGGTAGCTTAACCTGACTTAAGGAATAATTCATTGCGTAAAATTGTTTTTTTGTTGTTTTCTCTCTCTCTCTCTTTTATTTTATAGTTTATATATATTTTATATTTTTTTCTGATTTGTTTGAACGCAAAAGAAGACATAAGTCATTAGCGCTGATCGTTGTCCGGAAGTTTAATTTAAATTGACAAATCTAAACGTATCACGCCTATTTTAAGGGAATTACATTGGTTACCAGTTAAATACGCATTGAATTTAAAATTATGCTTATCACTTACGAAGCATTATAGGATATGGCTCCAGCTTATATTATCAACCTTTTGACAAGATATATTCCAACCCGAAGCTTACGATCATCGAAGAAAGTTCTCTTAAATAAAACAAGCCAAGCAAGAACTTCAACATATGGACAGAGAGCATTCTCGACATTTTCCACATTTATGGAACTCATTACCAGATAACATTAAAAACGCTCCTAACGGTGGATTCATTTAAATGCTTGTTTAAGAGATACTTATTTTCTGAATAAAATTTTTAGATATCATATTTAATAACATTACATTATATATGAATATATATCCAGTTTTTATCTGAAAGAT